GAGCTGTCAAGAATGGAGCAGCCCACCTTCATGCGCAGTCCTGTACTTGAAGCCGGGATGACTCTGGCAGAACGAGTCGTACCAGCTCTGCCTCCATCTCTGCGGGTCGTTGTGTGAGTCCAGGCCCGCAGGGATCACCTCGCAAAACATCGCAACTCACGAGCAAATGCCAAAGCGAAGCTCCATTGCACCCGCGGAACTCCACAGGCCTGGTGGATGACCTGTGGTATCGAAGCTCGCTCCGACTTGAACCTCACGCGGAGGTGGCTCGGAGCCCGAAAATGCCCCAAAGTCGCGGATATCCCTTCACCGACGGCCCCCATGGCTTGACTGGCAAGAATTCTGCTTCTGCTGGTCGCGTGCTGTGCTTCTACAACTCCCATGCGACAGCTTTCCTGCTTGGGATGCTTAGGGCTTATGGACCTCGTTTCACAGCTCAGCGGCTTGGCTTCCAGTTCCTCGATGCTCGGAAGCTCTTTGAAGGCCCCAAGCGGCCAGGCCTGCCACTGACCGAGGCGGTGTATGCGCGCACAGAAGGAAACCCCCGCCGGAATCTGTCAGACATCACGCGCCTTCTTGGAATGAAAGGGGCACTGGCGGGCCTGGCTGCAGCTTCTGAGCTAAAAGATCGAGGCGATCGAGGTCACTCTGTTTGTGCAGTCCTGAGCGGTTCAGCCGAGTGCCGCACCTTTTTGCAGCGGTTCTTGGACTTCACATAACCTGCAGCGCGTGGTCACAGGCCAAGCCACATGCTTGGTCGGTGCATTGCTGGACCCTCCAGGCCAGAGCAGGTGTACCCAAACTGGAACCTCGACGCAGAACAACAGCATGCAAAAGCAACAGAGCTTCGTCACAAGACGATGCGCTCAAGCGGCTATCGAGAATATTGAAATGGTGAGTATCTGTCAGTTGTGTTCATGATTGCAAGCCCAAGCCACATGAGACATTTTGGAAACGCAGAGAAGTTGATGGCATCAGGGTTGGGAACAAAATGGAAAGCCTCGGAAGTCCCAGCAGGTCCCAGCCACCACAGAGCACGAAGTTTTGCAAAGGCAAAAAAATGGCAAAAAATGCGGCAAGGAGCCGGATACAGCCATTCCTGTGGCGCAAGAGAGATCGGCATGCCACTGTCCACCAAGCACTTGGTGTACATCACGGGCCCCGTAACAGCAAAGACCTGCAGGGCTACAGAGAAGTGTGGATCCCATCACCAGGCCGCCAGGCCCGGGACCTCGATGTGGTTGCGCTTCTGGTGATACGTCTGCTTCAGGAAGAGAATGAGCATCAAGGTCAGAGGGTGATGAGGCGTACACCCAATCCTGGGGGACTTCCACTGGGCACAGTGGCAAGCAAGAGACGACCGAGCCGGGATGCACAGAGTTGCCCAGGATGGAGTAAGGTTTGTCTTTGGTGTCGGGTTCGTAAGCGATGACCTCGTCCGGTCTGCGGTCTGCGCCGGTCGAGTGCTGTATGCTCAGAGTTTTAGGGCGACTGCCCAGCCGGTCTCCTTGCCAAGCTCAAGGATGCGGTCCAGGCTTTTCCTCAGAGATCGCGGCGGCCCGGAGGCAAAACGGGTCGCTGCGTTGCGTCGTTGATCGTCGTTGCTTTGCAGCTCAGCGGCTGCTCCACGGAGATCATGTCCTCAGATACAAGTACTGCGCACAGGTGCGCAGGCACAGGACAGGAGCCCTCCCTTCGGTCTGAGATGCCGCATCCACATAGAGACCTCCGTGGTGCCAGAGGAACTCCAAGCGAAGGATGTCGGCCTTGCACTGCCACATCTTCTCCTCAGACGCTGAAGGTGAGGAAGTTCCAGCAGCACTTTCCGGAAGAAAGGACTAAGCGACCTGATGGTAAATCTGGTCGTTGATCATCGGCAGCTTGGCCACCTGCGAGTGCAGCAGGGCCATCCCAGCCATCCGACTTTTCGCAGAATGTCTTAGCAGGTCTTAGCAGTCTTGACGAGAACGTGCGACCAAGACCGAGATGATCGGAAGTGTGGAAGGTGCAAGGCAAGCAAAAGCGCTCGACTTCGGTAGTTGGGGCAAACTTGGCAGGGACTGAACCATAGCCATCCATCAAGATTTGAAGCCTTTGTCGAAGAGCACGACGTAATCGTCGTGTGCAATCTGGCTAACCCCCGAGAAGCGACGTGTCGACGCTGCAAGCGTTGACAGCCCCATCTACCATGCTTGCCTGCCTCGTCGTCACTCCAGAGATGGAAAGACCAGTCCGGATGGGCTGCTAAATACTCCACCCGGAAGGTATCAATCCAGAGGCAAGGAGGCTCCTGCAATGCAGAGCCAAGCCATGCTAAGCCACATGCGTTTGAATTCACCTCCTTTGCAAGGCCTTGGGGCCGATCCAGATCTGATGGATCACCTTTGGAATTTGCGCCTTCCCCTTCAGCACTGCCTCTCCGGCCGACGCTGGAAGCTCACCACTTTCGGAAGGGTTCGGGGTCGGGGTAGGAGGGCCGGGGCAAAGCGCCTTCTGGTATTTGGAGCACTCGGCCTTCCAGGCCTCGGCGTTGGCCACAGCACACCTGCCGAGCGGAGCGAGCTGAGAGCGGCAGATGTGTGAGGCAGTGCGAGGCGTTGCTTCTACCGCCCCTGCAGCCCAGGCACTCTCGTCGGTCCCAGTGGTTGTAGGACCCAATGGGTGAGATCTCCAGGGGCGGAAATGTCCTGGTGCAGGCTCAAGCAGATTCCCAACCCAGCCGGCCATTACTCCCTCTCTGACCTCAAGATCTCGTCGAAGTTCTGATCGCTAACTTGTCGGACCAGTCCAATCGGGGGAGCCTCGTCCTGTGATGCGCGGCAAATGTCAAAGTCATGAAATAACCAAGGGGAATCGGTGGCTTCACACAGACACTACACAGTACAGTCGACTGATGCAACTGGTCTGTCTCGTTTTTCCTCTGTGCTTTTCCGTTGCTTGCTGCCTGCATGTTGCCTTCGACAGACTGTATGAAACAAACGCGGCGCACGAACTCGGACCGACGGGGGAGATGAGGAAGTGGAAGATCAAGAAGGTAAAACACATACCGTGATGGTCCAAGACGAAACCCTGATGAGAAATACGCGATGCGACAGTGTCGACTTCAGTTTTGAGCGCAGCCATCGTGCGAACGGGGAGGACGACGTCCAAGGGACGATAACGAAGATGAGACCTCGCGCCCCGCACGATCCGCGCGCATGCGAGCGGGCGAAGGCTCCGCGAAGGCTCCGCGAAGGCTCCGGCAGCGCCGCGGCCTCCCGCGGGCGGCCCCGTGGCCTCGAGGCCCCAAAGCCGAACGGCAAGGTGCCCCTGACGGCCCTACGGCAGTGCGAAAGCTCCTAGGCGAGGCGTTGCCGGACTCCGGCGTCCTCGGTGCCCTTTAGGAGCGAATAGCTGGGACGGTGGTGGAGCTTCTGCGCCGTGCCACTCAGCAGCGCCTTCAGGCTGAGCACGGATCACTGTACCGCTGCTGAGCCCGCATGTGAACAGCCTCCTCTCTCTCGATTTCAGCCTCGACCTGTGCGGAACGAGAGCCGATCAAAGAGGCGCCTAGGGCCTCAGCAAGGGCCCCCGACCCCAACTCCTTCGGGCCTGCTGCAACTCCTGCCGCAGCTCCGCAGCGCGGCGCTGGAGCTCCTCCACCTGAGTGCAAGTCCGGTCTTTCAGTTTAGCACTGGCCCTATCAATATGTCAACAAGCACTGCCCAAATTGCAACCACAAGTCACAAGCCTTCCAGAGTGAGAGACAATCACAGTACAAGCACATTTATCGCTGCCATCCACAGGGGTTTACCGAGTGGTTGTTCAGCGAACGAGATGCAAGCGTGCAGGAAGGCTGTTGGAAATGATCCAAGCGTCAGTGGAGGTAATCGCAGCCGGAGGAGTTGCGGCATTGGCATAACCAGCCATAATTCCACTGAGCTGCCAGAACTACATGACCATTACATAGCTGACAAGGACACTTCTCGCGACCTGCGGCTGCTTCAATGCTTAAGTGGCTGGACTGGTGCAACTGGGTGCGAATCGGCGTCCTCTGACTGACTGCGAAGCATAATGCTTGATGTGGACACGGATTCCACGCGTTGGGCTTCTGGACCTTGTCAGTGCATGCTGACGACGGCGGTGCCTTTTCCACACGCATTCTCGCAACCTGTGTCTTCCACGCCGCCAAAGCAAGGCACGAAAGCACACCAGTCGAGACTGACTTCACTCGTGCAGTGGAAGTCAAATTAGGGATGGGCCAAGCGAAGGCTTGCCCTGTCTGATTGTGTCAGCTGCCTCGTTGGTCCTACCGCATGGGCACTCACTGGGCCCCTTCCGTCAGCTCCAGCTGAAATTTTCATTTCCTACCGTACTTACTGTACAATGCAAGGAGTGTGAGACGTGGTACGTCCGCCACTGCAACTTGTCGTCTCACTCACAATTAAAGACAGCATTGCCATCATCTTCAGCCATTGTAGGTGCGTAAGCCAGGGGAAAAAGCCGCCGCTCTGCGCGTGAAGTATATGAGACCAACACAGGGCACTTGCTGAGACTCGACGGCTCGCTCGCCCTGGGCACCCTGCGGCCAACCTGGAATTTTATCCAGGCATGGCCTCCTACTAAGGCCAGGCGGCTAGGTGAGATTTCACGACTTCTGTCCGGCATGGTCCCGGACCCGAAGCCTCGGAAACGAAACGGTCAGCTTCTGCTCGCACTGCTTTCCCCGCCAACTTCGAACGTTGCGACCCTGCCTTTCTCGCTCTGAGCCGCGGGCGTGTTAATTGTCCTTCGAAGCAAGCCTGGACGGAACACAACACGATTTTGCCCGTGCCGTCGCCATGAGCAGCTGAGTTCCGAGCTTCGAAGGCAGCGCCGGGCACCGCTGGTGCGGCGTCGCGCTGGGAATCTCGCGGAGTGCATGCTTGGAGCACCAGTCTTATCTCCGCTTGCTTCCGCTGCCGTTCTGTCCCGCTTACGTTTATAGGTTTACCTTCTCACTCTCGCAGCCGCTGATGCCTTCACTTCGCTTGCAGCGGCTGCGGTGGCTGCGGTGGCTGTGGCGGCTTCGGTGTCTGCAGCTGCAGCCCCTGCTTCCCCGGGTGCGTGTCGACCTCGGAGCATGAGGCTGGAGTGGAGCACGTCGCACACTAAAGTGGACACGACGCACCACGTTGATTATGGCTTTCTCCAAATCGCGGCTACTTGGCCGTTGACAGATGCTGCGATCTCAGACAGCGAGGATTCATGTCTGCAACGACACCACCGCGAGAAGATAGGAAGCACGACTTGTGCAAGTCACCACCCTGTGCAGCGGAGCGCCGGTAGTTACCGCAAGTCATGAAGCTGCGCGGGCCCTGAGTCATCCTGCCCCATGGGCACATGAAAGATCAGCAGCATTCGAACGGCTGTGCAAATCAGCATGCCAAATTGTTTGACGACGACGAATAAGCTCTTGCATCGCATTTCTCAGACATGAGACTAGACATGACGCGGACGAAGGTACCTGCCCCTCCAGCTATTTTAGAAGTACGTACATTGGGCTTGAGAAACATTGAGGCGACGAGCAACTTCGAATCCATGGCAGTGAAATACTTCCGCTCAGCTTGAGCTAACACAAGGAAGGACATCGCATCAGAGGCGATTTTGCTTTCAAGATGGCAGAGCCCTTGCAGACAATGCAAGCTTTGGCATACGATCACACAAAGTGCTCCAACGCCAAAGAATAAACAAGGGCTTCTTCGAGAGGTTTCCCCGTTCACTAGGGCCGGGCCAAGACTGCCAAACGATCATCGATTCTTCGAGTCGCAGAGCCACACGAGAAGCAAAGGCAATGGTAAAGCAAGCAAGGGAGAACAGTACGAAGGATTCTTGCTCGATGTAATGTAGAGAAGACTGTTATTGACATGAGGTTAATGGCACTCGACCCAGCTTGAGGGTTCCGCTGATCTCGATAACGCGCAAACCCACCCACCATGCGGCGTGTGCATATCCACATCGTTGATGCGTTGTGAAATGGTGGAGTCCTGAGGTTCCGCTTCAGGCGGTCCTGCATGGTGGCAGAGGGAGGGTTGGGAGCCACCTGTTGATGAAAGCACCAGTAAGAACCCCAGGGGGGGTAACGTACGTACGTACGTACCTCGGGTACGTTAGTACGCTAGTACGTTATAGGACGTTAGTACGTTAGTGCGTCGTCACACCGACAGGAGTACCTGAGTACGTAAGTATGTTAGTACGTCAGAACGCACGGCCAGAAAAAAAATTGCAAGGGGGGGGGGGGCGGCACGTATGTATGTATGTATGTGCCTAGAATCGCGCGCAGCGGACGTGTCTACGTACGTACGTGAGTACGTTAGTACGGTAGGACGTCAGTACGTCAGTACGTACGTACGTTAGTACGTCAGTTCAGTACGTTAGTTTTTGTACGCCTGATCGTTCAGTGAAAAAGTTTTTGTGGGGGGGCGCCGGCACGTATGTATGTATGTTACCTTGTGTACGTACGTAAGTACGTTATAGTACGTTAGTACGTTAGTACGTGTAAGAGGATAGTATGTTATAGTACGTTAATACGTTAGTGTGTCGTCACACGGACAGGAGAGTGTATAGTACGTTAGAACGTAGGGCAAGGCACGCAGGTCTGTATGTATGTTTGTACCTCCGAGGTCGCGGAGCGGACGCGTCTACGTACGTACGTGAGTACGTTAGCACAGTGGGACGTCAGTACGTCCGTACGTACGTACAGTAGTACGTTAGTACTTTGTACGCATGTGTGTTCTGGAAAAAAATTGAAGGGGGGAGGGGCGTCACGTATGTATGTATGTTACCTTGTGCACGTACGTTAACACGTGAGTACTTTAGTATGTTCGTACGTTAGTGCGTTGCACACGGACAGGAGCACTTGAGTACGTTTGTGGGCTAGTACGTTTGAACGCACGGCCAGCGAAAACAATTGGCAGGAGGGGGGGGGGGGGGCGCATGTGCATGTATGTTTGTTTGTAGTATACCTCGGATCTCCCCGAGCGGACGCGTCTACGTACGTACGTTAGTACGTTAATACATTCGTACGGTAGGACGTTAGTATGTTGGTTTAGTACGTTAGTACGTGAGTACTTGGTATGCATGTTACTTCCGGCAAAAATTTTGCAGGGGGGGCGGCACGTATGTATGTATGTTTGTACCTCGGATCTTCGGGAGCGGAGGCGTTAACGTACGTACGTCAGTACGTTAGTACGTTACTAATGTCAACGACGTGTCCTGGGGGAGCAGGTGTGCTACTCGTTTTCTGCGCGGCATGAACGAGCATCATTCCGTGCAGAAAACGGTCGCGCAACAAATTTCCTGCGGAATCGTCGTGTACAAGATGTCAACGGCTTTTTCTTGCTTCCTACGCTCCGGGAGGGGTGTGGCTGCCTCTTGTGTACTGCACATGTCCTACATGTCTCGAACTGCTTGTTTTGCAAACGGGCAACAGTCTAGCAAAGCGCTGGAGCCAGGAAAAAACCGGCCGTGACATTACAACGTCGAGTTAGGTCGTTGCAAATTCGGCGCGAGATCGTAGCAGCCGACAAATTCAATGTGGTTGGTCCGTGAAGCTGCCGACGGTAGCAGAAACGTGTTGTTGAACTGACTCTGATTTCTTCCTTCTTTTAGGATGCCCGGTCAAAACCGTGCATTGAGCGACAATGTCGGCTTGAAATTTGCTTGTTCGGGTGCAGCGGGCTCGTCCATGCAGAAACTCACGAAACGACGACTCCCAGATTAAGAAAGTCCATCAAAGAACCCTTCATGTTTCTTTCTTGAAACAGTTTATACTAGTCCAAAACTCCCAACGGAGAACAGCCTCACCATCAAGCAGTTCCAACAGTTCCAACTTGCACATTTCACGTCAAACCCAGGGTGAACACAAATCACAAAGATTACACAAACACAATGCTGTGAAGCTGAGTCCACAACGGACGTTCAAGCTATGCAGATCGTTTTTGCAACACCGGTCAGGCGCTGGCAAAAATACAAGAGACGCAAAGCATGTGCCGCGTGCCACCAAGTTGATGTGAAGTCACTGCGTTGAAAATGACGGATGTGGTTACTGCGGTATCTTGACGGAACGAAACTGTCGCAAAGATGCCCATTCGTTTTGCGGATCAGCTCGTGTTAGCGATTGCAGCACGAGAAGGCGTTCGTACTATACACCGCGAACTAAACACGCCAGCGACGAAGTTGATACGGTTCTTCATGCTACGGACAATGACACGAACCAGAACACGCTGTGAGGTTGATGCTGCCGTTCTTGACTGTAGTTCGTACCATAACGTACTATGGTTCGTATCATGACAAATGTGTTCGTAGCATGTTCGTATCATACAGCTCCTTTAGTTCGTATCATATAGTACGAACTTCCCCTGGCACGGCCATGCGTGATACGAACTAGTCCGCACAACCACAGTGCATCATCCAACAGGTGTGATCCATCAAGTCTGGCATGTGCCTTGCCCCTTTACAAGCGGGCACCTGGTTGCAACGGTCAGACTGACTGACTGGAACCGGAAACTTGGATGCACAGGCATTCTTCCATATCTGAATCGTTTTCTGAGCACTATGAACGTTTCGGACTGCTACACCTCGGCGACTCGGTCGGATATTTACAACTTCGTGCCGTCTCCACTAAACCAACGAAGCTAATGCATGCAGTTGAGCAAGAAATGAATATATACATATATACATATATATATATATATATATGTATATGTATATATATATATATATATATATATATTCGTACTGATGCTGTACCCACTCAGCCTTATCTCGTATGCCAACCTCGAAAAGCAAGTCGACATCTGCGATACTTGTTCAGCTAATGCCTGCAAGTTATTGAGACGCTGATTGATGTGAGGCTGTTTATTGGCAACATCTCATCGTGAAACTCTGCGTAAACGAGCCCGTTGTAACCGGCCAAACAATCTTCAAGCTTACATTATCGCTGAATGGCAAGCTTAGCATCATTTGTTAAAAAAACACAGAAGAGAGAACAAGACTCACACAGCAACACTTTACTATTTCTTCAATTGGGATTTCGACGAAAGCCAGTTTCAAGCTGACGGTTCTTACGACCTGGTGTTAGGCTCGCCGGATGTTAAAGAACAGTGGAAACTCTGCATGCTGCGGGTGCACTCGAAGTGTTCAAACGTGCTGGAGGGTTTGGGCGCGAACGTTCATTTGCATTGACAGAAGCCAACCACGACATGCCAGCGTCCAGGATTTGGCAAATTTGTGCATGTAGAAAAGTTACCAGCCTTTGCAGGAACCACTCGAGGCAAAACTGACATGTGCAGCAAGACTGCCATGCCACAACGAACAGGCACAGCTTGGGCACCGCTCCACAGAGCAACAGGGAAGGCCTTTAATACGGTTTCCATGCGGCATGCATAGCGCAATTGGGTACACATGCATTTTGGCGTTTGCGCAAGCCCATGGCGGAACGATGAACAAAGCCTTCCCCCAGCGCGGAGCGGACGCGTTTACGTACGTACGTTAGTACGGTAGGACGTCAGTACGTCAGATTACGTCAGTACGTACGTAAGTTAGTACGTTAGTACGTGAGTACTTTGCACGCATGTCCGTTCAGGAAAAAATTGTGGGGGGGGCCGGCACGTATGTATGTATGTTATTACCTTGTGTACGTACGTTAGTACGTGAGTACGTGAGCATGTTAGTACGTTAGTGCGTCGTCACACGGAGAGGAGTACGTGAGTAAGTTAGTATGTTAGTACGTTAGAACCGCTAGAACGCACGGCAAGTGCAAAAAATTGGCAGGAGGGGGAGGGGGGGGCGGCACATGTGCATGTATGTCTGTTTGTACCTCGGATCTCCCGGAGCGGACGCGTCTATGTACGTACGTTAGTACGTTAGTACATGAGTACGGTAGGACGTTAGTACGTTAGTACTTTGTACGCATGTCCGTTCCGGAAAAAATTCTGCAGGGGGGGGACGGCACGTATGTATGTATGTTTGTACCTCGGATGTTCGGGAGCGGAGGCGTTTACGTACGCACGTTAGTACATTAGTACGTTAGTACGTTAGTACGCTCTACGTTAGTGTATTAGTGTACGTTATATATAGTACGTGAGTACGGTAGTTCTTTGTACGCATGTTCGTACGCAAGTAGAAGCACGACCTGACAGCACGTTGTATAGCACGCATGTAGCTGCGCTAGTACGTGCGAATGTGCGGATAGCGCGCACGCACGGACGCGAGCACGGACAGGAGGACGTGAGTACGTTAGTACGGTAGTACGCACGGCAAGGGCAAAAAAAAATTGGGGGGGGGGGGCGGGGGCTCGTACGTATGTATGTTTGTACCTCGGAGCTTCGGTAGGTACATACGTACATACGCACACGTACATACGTACGTACCTCCGGCGGAGAGTTTTGCGGGGAGGGGGGGCGGGCGTCTGTATGTACGTACCTCGGGCCGAAAAACTTGCGCCGGGGGGATTGGGGGAGTACGTATATACATACGTTACCCGGGGGGGAGAGTCGCGCGGGCGAGGCGGGAGGAGTACGTATGTATTTTCCTCGGGCGGGAACCAGGCACCCAGAGAGCCCAATACCCTTCAATTAAGGAATATACCTTAAATCATATTATGCGCCTTCTTATAATTTAGGGTATACTCCTTAATTAAACGGTATTGGGCTCTCTGGGTAGGGAGCCAGGTACGTACGTACATACGTACCGTCCCCGGGGGGGGTAGGTATGTACATTAGTATGCTAGTACGTTGCAAGATAGGGGGGAGTATGCTGGGAGGGAGGGGGGGAAGGTACGTACATTAGTATGTTAGTACGTTGCAAGACAGGGGAGGAGTCTGCAGTCACTTGGAGGTCGCGTGGGCGCGGGGGAAGGGCAGGGGAGTACGTATGTACTTTCCTCGGGGGGAGCTAGGTAGGTAGCCAGGTACGTACGTGCATGCGTACCGTAGCCGGGCAGGGGGGGTAGGTATGTACGTACGGGGAGGGGGGGGGTAGGTATGTAAGTATGTTAGTACGTTGCAAGATAGGGGGGGAGTATGTATGTACGTACGTTACCTGGTCGGGTCGGTCAGGTGGTAGGTACGTACGTACGTACCTCCGGCCAAGAATTTTGCAGTAACATGTACGTTTCCTGGGGGGGGTCGGTCAGGCGGTAGGTACATACGTACCCGAAGGGGGGGTAGGTACGTACGTTAGTATGTTAGTACGTTGCTGGGGGGATAGGTGAGCCTGAGTCGCGCGGGCGGGGCGGGAGGAGTACGTGTGTACTTTCCTCGGGGGGGAACCAGGAGGGAGCCAGGTACGTACGTACATACGTACCGTCCCCGGGGGGGGTAGGTATGTACGTTAGTATGCTAGTACGTTGCAAAATAGGGGGGGAGTATGCTGGGAGGGAGGGGGGAAAGGTACGTACGTTAGTATGTTAGTACGTTGCAAGACAGGGGAGGAGTCTGCAGTCACTTGGGGGTCGCGTGGGCGGGGGGGAAGGGAAGGGGAGTACGTATGTACTTTCCTCGGGGGGGGAGCTAGGTAGGTAGCCAGGTACGTACGTGCATACGTACCGTAGCCGGGCAGGGGGGGTAGGTATGTACGTACCCGGGGGGGCAGGGGGGGGTAGGTATGTACGTTATAGTATGTTAGTACGTTGCAAGATTATAGGGGGGGAGTATGTATGTACGTACGTTACCTGGGCGGGTCGGTCAGGTGGTAGGTACGTACGTACGTACCTCCGGCCAAGAATTTTGCGGTAACATGTACGTTACCTGGGGGGGTCGGTAAGGCGGTAGGTACATACCTACCCGAAGGGGGGATAGGTATGTACGTTAGTATGTTAGTACGTTGCAAGATAGGGGGGGAGTATGTAGGTACGTCCGTTATGAGGGGGGTCGGTCAGGTGGTAGGTACATACGTACGTACCTCCGGCCAAGAATTTTGGCGGTAGCAGGCAAGATAGGGGAGAAGCATGCATGTAGGGGTCGCGCGGGTGGGGGGGGAGTAGGGATGTATGCACGTTTTTTGGGGGAGGGGGGGTACGTGTGTACGTTTGTCTGATTTTGTCTGTATAGACGCTAACCACAAAATTTGCGCCGAAGGGTGGGGGAGTCTGTATATATGTACGCTAGCTAGGTACGTACGGGGGGGTAGGTATGTATGTTAGTATGTTAGTACGTTGCAAGATAGGGGAGGAGTATGCAGTCACGGGGGGGGTCGCGTGGCTGGGGGGGGGAAGGGGAGTACGTATGTACTTTCCTCGGAGGGGAGCAAGGTAGGCAAAAATTGCGCCAGTCTGTATATATGATCCCGGTTCGGCCGGCCCCCCCCCTCCCCCCCCACTGGTTCCGCCTCCCCCCTGTGGGGTTGCTTCCCCCTCCCTGTGGTGTGGTGTCGCGTGGTGTGGTTCGGGAGTGGGTCTGCTTAGGCTGGTTACCCCACTCCCCCCCTGTGGTGTGGTGTGGTTCGTGTTTCCTGCGTGGGTCTGCTTGGCGTGTGAGCCCTTGGGGGGGGGATACCATGGGGGGGGGGTCGGTGAACCGAGAACCGGGATCTTTTATGTACGCTACCCGGGGGGGGAGAGGTGGGAGCTGCACGTACTGTCCCCACAAAGGGGGGGGTACGTAGTGGTTAGTATGTATAGCAAGACAGTTATATAGGCAGTGAGACAGGTAGCTAGGTAGGGAGCCGGGTACGTGCGTGCATACGTACCTTCCCCGAGGGGGGGAGGTAAGTACGTTAGTATGTGGGTACGTTGCAAGACAGAGGGACGAGGGGGGGGAGTATGCAGGTACGTACGTTGCCAGGGGTGGGGTAGGTAAAGGGAAGCTCCGGCCAAAAATTTTGCGGGGGGGGGTTGGGAGTATGTATGTACGTACCTCCGGGCAAAACAATTGCGCCGGGAGGGCGGGGGAGTATGCATGTACGTACGTTTCCCAAGGGGGGAGGTACGTACGTACGTTAGTATGTACAGCAAGAGAGTTATTAGTTAGTATGCAAGAGAGTTAGTTAGTTAGGTAGGTAGGTAGTTATAGGTACGTACGTACATACGTACGTACCTCCCCGCCCCCCCCAAAAAAAAAAAAAACAGGGGGGTGGTATGTATGTACGTACGTACCTCGGGGTTCCTTATGGAGAGCGCCGGTTGCACGTAATAAGGTTGTCGAATGAGAATCTGTTTAGGCTGGGCAAAACGGGCTGGTGGTGCGAACCCGCAGCAATGGTAGAGTCAGTGAAGGAATTTGGAAGCGCCTGCTTTGGACTGCCTTGTGCCGAGTCTTGGACCCAGTCTTCTGCCTCTGCAGACCCGAAGACAAAGGAGGCTCCTAAAACCGCTTCGCTTCTGGCGAAATCGCCATTGCTCCCGCCTTCGAGGCCGCGCTCTCGATCTCTTCTAGCGCCTTCTTGGCGCCGTCGATCGCCTCCTGTGCGGAGCCCAGGGGTAGCGGTTGACTCGGAGCTTGGCCTTTGGGCCACACCCTTCCGCTTGGCCTGCGCGTGGGGGGAGGTGTGAATCGGTGGGGCCAGCACGATGCCATCTTCGCATTTGCTGCCAGGCAGACCACACAAACCGTTGCCACCTCGGCAGAATGCAAAGAGGCCGACAACATGCCGTGCTTTTGACCTAAGACCGCGACAACAAACACTTCCCTGGCTGCAGCAGCCTCCGCAATGTTGGGGTGCAGGGCGAAACAGTGCTGTCTGTCATGTTACTGTGACGACCTCCATGACAGCAAACGTCGTTGGCAGCACAGCAGTTGCCACCTGGCATCAACACCATGGAGATGTGCTAGCGACAGTAATTCTGAAGAACGCTGCGAATCACCAATAACACGTGGCGAAATTGCTCCCACAGCATTGTGTGCCATCTGCACAGCATTGCACCCCATGACAGCCTTCAAATGGTCATAAACAAAACCCTCGCAGAGGCTTGCATTGGCTGGGTCAGGCTGGGAGTCGAGCACTGCAGCGGGTGTGCACCTCAATTCCAACTCGAGGCCGCTCCATCGTATGACAGACAGACACTTAAAAGCATGCAGTGACAGGGATGGCCGGAAAGCAAAATCAGACCACTTGCGAGCAGTAGCGTGCACATGCGCACACGGACAAAACATGCATCAGGCGCTGAGAGATGAAAACAAGGCTGACCCGAAGAGCACTCGCACGAGCGCAGAGCAGAACATCGAAGCCTGTCCGTTTACACCATGGCCCTTGCTGCATGTTTCCTGTATCGGACATACTGCTGTCGCCGGGCCGGCAAAGAAAGAAGAACGTGTCCCACTGGGACAGCTTCCTGTTCTAGATTCCAGCCGAGGTCCATGGGAATGCCAACTTGAGCTCAAGTTCCTCAAACAAGTCTCCCTGCTTCTGATGTGCAACAACCAACAGCTTCATCCTCGGGATACAAGCAACAAAAGTGCAAGGAGCCCATCGAAGGACTGCCAAAGGCCAAACTGCTGCTGAAGGCCAGAGAGACTCGATGCCGAGAGAAACCACCACAAGTTTTCAGGTCATGCCAAACCAACTCTTCAAACTCTTAGCGGTATTTTTGTCACACGCAAGGATGCGCCAACCACTCAAGAGTAAGCACCATGCCTCTGGTCACAGCGAAGCAGTGCACAATGCCCCAACAGTGCTTGATAAGAGATCGATTTCCGCACACAACCATGATGATCGCGCTAAACACAGCCTGTGAATGTGCTCTTCCAGGCCGTGCCAGGTCTGATGCTGCCGTGAAAGAGCCGCTGAGCTTCCTGCATTCCTCACCTGCCGAGCCGCAGGAATCCAAGGCGGACCTGGGAAATGACTACCGCACTCTGAAAACTTCCAACATGGCTTTGGAGCTTCGTCCAAGGCACTGTAAGTGTTCAAGCTTCGTTTGAATCTTCGTCACCTTGGATTGCATCTCGAGGACCTGCTCGGACACCTCACGAGGAGAACTGCCGAGCTTGTTATCAAACAGAGAACATAGCACAGGCTGCCTGGCTAGGCAGGCATCTTGGTTCTTCCCAAACATTCGAGTCAAACACAGCAGCTGGATCGCTCTCCCGCTGAAGCGCGCGGAACGGTCCGCGGCTTCCGCTGCCGTGTCAACGTGGACGTTCAGTGAAATCGCTTCTTGCCAAGCCCCATACTCCAGGGACGCCCAAGTCATGGCAAATGTTCGCGTTTTAAGAAACTTATCCTTGGGCCTGTGAATGGCTCAAAAAATGCCTGCCGTCTTGGCGGTGGCGGGCCAATCGGGCTCGCAAAAAACCAGGAATGATTTTGGGTGCTTTTTGGTCCGAGAACGGCCACACTATGATGCTCCTAGCACTTCTTGGTCTGGTTTCTAGCGGTCTGGGGTGGTGTCAATTCACCACTCGCCGAGTTGCTTTGTCGCGACAACTCCCAAGTTGGCGTCAAGACGCCTCAAAACCTCTTGACGTCCGTTCTACCAAGCCAAATTCAACGTTCTTCTTCGCTTCTCTGTGGTCACGACTGAAACTCTGCAAAGACCTCCGACAGCACACAATTAGTATCTATGGGAGCATACTGCAAGAGTGTTGACCATTACACCCTCGAGGCAAGGGTGTAGAGTTTAAGCCAGTCGAGCACTCAGAGATCTCAACATCAGGGCTCTATTCTCAGCCTTACAGCATTGCAGGAGCGCAGGGCGCCTCTTCTCTCTCCTCCACGCTCGAAGCTTTCTTCTCAGCATCGAGCGCCTCTAAGGCGAGCACTGCGAGCACTGCGAGCAAATCTGAGAAGCCGCTCAGGGCCGCACCGTGAACTTGAGCACGTGACGAGCAGAAGCTCGTGCTGGGCTGGCCTGGAGCAGCGGCCCTGTCTCTACGTCGAAGACTTCAGGCTGGCAAATCGGACCGAGGGACCGGTTGCGAGCCGTAGAGGGCGACGATGACAACGAAAAGGGCAAAGCCGAGGAGGCCGATCTGATGCTCTTACGCAAGCGCACGCCGTGGCAAGCGGCAACTCTTTGCACTCGGCTATGAGGTCGGGACAGCAATTCGCTGCGTGCGGCCCATGCCCGTCTCCGTCGACTCCTGAAGTCGCGAAGCCCTTTATCAGGCATGGGAAGAGAGTAGTGCAGTCGCCTGAAGGTCCGTTGCATAGTTCCTCTGCATCTCTCTCCTCAGCGCCCGTCGCGTACTTTTTTGCCCTGGCTTTCACGTCCCAAGCTGCCAGAGCACTCAGCCCGCCGCATTTCGGCCCATTTCTGAGCGGAAAACATCGCACTCAGCTCTGCAAAACACGAGGGCACCCTCCCAAGACTACCTCGATGATCTTGACTTCGGCTCGGACGGCGTCGAAAATGCGATGTCGAGAACCCAAATGCCATGAGTCATAATGAATCCCATCACAAGCTCTAAGGAGGGGCTTTTGCACAGGGAAGCCGTGAAGGCATTCGGTCTGTAAGTAGAGTAATTGCCGCAAAAAGAAACCAAGCATCCGCAGCATGCAATGTGGCCCCGACTCACAGAAGGGCTGAGGGCTTGCAGCCGTGGCCATGCATCGGAACGAAGCTTGAAAGCACCGCATTGACGGCGTTGCATACCACATGCTCTACTGTGCAAGCTACATCAAGCTGCCGGTCTGAACAACTTGTTTCACTGCCAGAACGAAATCCCTTGCGAGTCCTTACCTGTGTAGCTCGGCCACATGAGCAGTGCGGCAGAATGCATTCGGCAAAGCTCCCTTTCCACACCCTGCATCCCGACTGCATGCCCAAAACCCAACCTCTGCGGAAGGGCAAGAAAAACAGTCCACAACAAAGGCGGAGTGGCTGGGTCAAGCCTGGACTTTCCTGAGCTCCCTCAACATGTGAAGCCTCCAGTGTGCAGTGGCCCGCGGCCCGTAGCTGGCACATTCTTCAAAGCTCTCTCAAAGGCTCTCCACACAGGTCGCCTGCCATGTTGAGGCCCGTCACATTGAAGATAAGCCTCGGCGAGTATATCTCATTGTCACACCCGCACCACGATTGCACAATGGCCTCAAAATCCTCCTTGATGAGAATCGGCCAAAACAAAACCTTGCAGCTCGTCCGAGATTGCCATGACTATGACATGTCAACGGTTTGACAAAGGATCAGCCGGTCAGCCTGAGCCTGGCACGAGACTGCCGACGGCACAGAGGAGGAAGAACACGCAGCTCAGGCGAAAAACCCGTTGTGAGTGCACCTTGGCACCATGGTTCCAACAACTCAGGCTTCGAGAACCGAATCTTTTGGCATGTGATACACTCCGAAAACATTGGGCACTGCAAACTTATCAAGGCACAACACTAAACACAAGCATTCCTTCAACAAACCATGTCGAACAAAGCATAGTTTGACATCCCCAGGCACAAAACCGAACACAACATCGCCATACCAAACTCCCACCTGCTAGAACCCCCAACAAAGTCCAGGGCTGTGTCAATATGCCCCGGACTGCTAGGCTCGCGATGAGGCGAGGTGGTGCTGGTAAAGGTCCGTCGCTCATGTGCCACTAAAGATATTCGAAAAAGCTGGATTTGAAACAAACATCGCATCGGGCATCGGCAGTAACATGCTTGTACTTCTGGTTCGGAAGATTCATTTTACATGCACGTGTTGTTTCAGTCTGGTATATGCAGGTGTGGCCGTCCAAGGATGTCGAAATGGTGCAGAATGCATTCAATGTCTATCGGCGAACTGAAACTCGAGCCGAGGGCCGAAACGCGTAACGAAAGAATGAAACAACCTAATGCAAATACCAAAAAAAAGCCATCAGCACATATGATCTCGGCTTGCATAACTTTGCAAAGCCAAGCTTGCAGCCAAAACCTTGACTTGTGTGTGGGAGGGGCGGGTGCAGCAAGCGACGGTTCTTCCGACTGGCCTTTGTTTGCAACCCACTTCATTTTTCATGAACAACACCTCAATCATGTTTTTGGATACCATTTGTATAGCCGGTTCCTACGCAGTTACCTGCAAATGCAGCAATGTCCAGTACTTTTGAATAGGCGATTTTGACGTCGATAGATGCTATAGCATGCTCAAATCCAGGTCTCGTCACTTTCCACATCGAAAAATTTATCGGGATCATCTTGACCACGTTAGTACTTAGTCAAAAAAAAGAAACAAACGTTGCGTCGTCTCCAGCCCACGGAACTCACGGGCCACCAGCGTTGACCGGTTAAGACAGTGTGGTAAGCCCCCCCTGCGGCCATGGATGCTGGAGTGCGGACTTTTGAACACTTCAATTTCATCTGCATACTGTGAAATGCACACAACATTTGCGGAATAAGGCGTGGTTTTGCCCTGTCACCTTACGACCGCCCTCGTTCTTGGACTGGGGTGTGCATTGTTCCAGCTTGCTGATCATCTGACCAGGAACCGGTAAGCTGCAACTTTTCATCAGGATCAATCGTCTTTGCCATCTCAACATGTGTTGCCACGATAATGATTTTGGGACCTGTCAACAAATCCACACTAGAATGTATACCATCACGATCAACAAACCGGCTGCGCTTAAACACGTTCCACAGAAACATTGGAAGCTCTCAAATTCAACAAAGCCGAACAGCAACGGTTTTGCAGCCAATTCTTGCGATGTTGCGAAATGTTTTTGATTAAAATAACAAAAGTTAGGAATCCAATGCAGTTCCGTGGCCAAACTTGATGCTGGCTGAAGATTTATCAACCAACAGCATGATTAACGAATGTTCGGCCGCCAACACCCTCGCAATCTCCAGTTTTAGCAGCTTCAGTGGCAATGCTGAAAGAAAGATCTTGACGGTGATGCATCGCACTGTTGTGGAAGCCGAAGAAGTTTGGGATTCACGTGGAGCCCGAAGCCCCAAATCTCGATGCACTTTTCGTTTTCTAGTCCAGATGGCTTCACAAGCCTTACGAGCTAACAAAGAACAAGCAAATGGCGCGAACAATTCCAACGTGGAGGACAAGCAACCTGGAGCCTTTTTTATTCGTTTTCAAAAGCACAGGGGGGTCAAAATAGATTTTCCCTTTATGTGTCAACCGGGCGTTGCATATTCCATATGTACAGAAAAGTACACGTATACAAAATCAGGATTGGTCACTCTTCAATCCAAATGTATACTTCAGAACATATAAAAATTCGGCTCGCGCTAACGGCTCGCTTTTACTCGAAAGTGGGGCATCGCAGTGCCTTGCCCTGGGCTCGGGCCCAGGGCGCTTGCTCTTTGTTCATCTCAACAACATTCCAGAAACGGATTTGTACACAGAACGTATTGTCAGAAAAAGATGCCACCTGCATCATTGCGAAACTTCGCAGCACAACTTGTGCGGATTAAAACCAGGGCGGGCTGGGGGTGGGACACGCTCCCCACACCGCAGCCTAACAGCATCAAGTTCCACGCGCCCGTGACCTTCCTTTTACAAGAATGCACACTGGTCGCAGGCAGGCGGCGCAACGAGGTCGCAACTTCTAAGCTGCTGGCCTCGTGCACCCCACCTGCTGGACGTCTTCGAAGCTTGGAAAAGAATTGGGTGGCGAGGGTGGGCTTTCAAAAGGCAGGCACCCCCCCTGCCCAACCCTAGTTTGTGCGGCTGCGAAAGTCGCAGCCGTGTCATTACGTGCACACGTGCACTACAAGACAAAACTTTTTCCCGGACTTATGCCGGAAACTTTTCTTACCCTCCCACCACCCTGTGGAGCCAACTGACGGCATAACAAAGACTTCATTGAGATCCGTTCAAACATGATCTGTCATGTCTTCGTGTTAAGAAAACTTTGACAAAAGATCACGCCCTACGACAAACCAAAATTTTTGACACATGGGAAAATAAAGCTTCATCCGCGGTCTCATTTTTCCTTTAGGTGTCAACCGGCCGTTCCAAATTCCATATATCCAGAAAAGTATACGTTTACAAAATCAGGATGTGTCACTCTTCAATCCAAATGTATACTTCATGACATATAAACATTCGGCTCGCACTAACGGCTCGCTTTTACTAGAAAGTGGGGCATCGCAGTGCCTTGCCCTGCCCCTGTCTTTGGCACTAAAAGCGCCCAAATTACTCGTCGCGCACCACTTGTGCGCTTCACTTTGCCGTGACTCGACTCTTCAAGAAAGCTTTCAACGAAGTTCGCCGCAGGCCTAACACGCACAGGTGTTGGCAGGTTCCACACCCCTCTGAGGGCGACCCGAGAGGTTTGCTTGAAGCTCGATTGTACCCAAGGCTTTTCTCAATCTCACATACCGCATCGATGACATGTGGTGCGAACTGACTCACTGTTCAGCACTTCACGAAAGCCGTGAACACCTTCGTTGTCAGTGAATAACTACATTCTTGCCCTTTAGAGCTTGGAAGAAAAGCTTTGGCGCGCACGAACCGCCAAAGCCTGACTGAAGCTCAATGAGAGTCTTTTTGACACGCTCAGAGTTCATGACTTTTTTTTGGCGTGGGCGGGCCTTGTCGACTACGGCTGTAGCACTCGGTCCCTACAAACGAGACAAACCAACAAACCAAATCCAAAAGACAGCGGTGAAACAGGTGGCCCTAGAAGTAGTAAGGCAAAAAGGCTAGCTGCGGCGCACAGGCTTTGCCGGTGTTGGCCGTTCAGCACAAGCTATGGAGCCTCAGCAACCGATCCACAACAGCAAAGGGCCGTTGCCCAAAGCTGTCCAAGACTACCGGTGGAGCCCAAAGTCAAAACTCCGGCCGCCGTTCTAGTTCCGTCGAAAGGATTTGTGCAGAAGGTACAACGCAAACGGTGGAAGCTGTACCTGTGCACATCCAGATCGGGCGCACGGAGATGCGGCATGAGTTCTGAGGATATGAAAGGGATTTGAATGCTAAGTCCACTCTGCACTAAGCCGCTAAGAATGCGTCATTTTTTTTGGCGTGAGCGGGCCTCGTCGACTACGGCTGTAGCACTCGGTCCTAGTAAGAACTGAATGAAAGCAAGAAGTGAAAGAAGAACTGTGCAGAAGGATCCTAGTGGTAAAACAGGTCGCGAAGTGCAGACTTAGCAGCAGGGATCGTTCGACCTTCTAGATGTAGCGTCTCTCAGTTGGCCTTCTCCGGAGTGAAGCCAGCAGCAAAAACCATGAGCATCCTTATCCGGGCAACCAGGGTGACCGAACGCACCAGCTCCAACCAAGGCGCCGTGCTGGAGAATCCCAGGTTCCCGAGATCTGGGTTTTGCAAGTTACCCAGCAGATACAGACAGAGAGGCCGCGTACAAGCAGACCAACTCAGCAAAATAAAACGCAGCAGCCCCACCAGACCCAGCTTTCCAAAGGCGGGCATCACAAGGGTCAATCAAGAACTGCATAATGTTCAAGGCGCGGTTCTTGGAAGACCCTGTTTCCTGACATGTGGGTTCGGCGAGGGATATCCCGCAGAAGCAAGTGATGGCGAGACCGCGTATAAGGAACCCAACAAAACGCTGCAGTTCCACTGTACCCAGCTTTCCAAAGGTGGGCATCGCAAGAGTATCAAGGATGCATAACGCTCCAGCCCAGCGAGTCCAAGGACACCGAAAGGCATCACAATAGGACGTACCGCATCGAAAACGTTGAATACTGTCCGCCTCGCTTTGGCATCCCAGTGCAGACATCGCAGAATGATCGAACGGGCTCCACGGCGCACAACACGCCCAGCTTCCTTAGGAGTGAGCAGATTCAAGGCATAAATTGCGTAATTCCACTCATCAAACCCCGAGGCAGAAGTCGCGCCAAGAGGGACAAGGCAGCTGGATCTTGACGCAGAGCTTTTTTTTTGGCGTGGATGAACAGAGCGCAGCACAATGTGCGCTGAAGGATCGTTTGTCCAAACTTCCTGTTCTTGCAGAGCTTGCAAGCGAACGCTTTGGCCAAAAAACCATGAAGTGTGTTTGCTTGCACACAGCTCAGCAGGCATACTGTAGAGTGCAGAAAGATGCCAAAATGCAGCAATCCAGCTTTCCAATAAGATGGATCGCAAGAGCTGAAAAGCAGACCCAAGGCGCGAGAAAAACAGTGCAACGGACGTTCTGCACCATAGCCACACACATGGCTGTGAGTCCATCCCTTCGGAGGTCTCGCAAGAGCAACAGGAGGACAATCTGTTCAGAGAAAAGTAGGAATAAAGGTCAAAGTGCAACAAAAGTACACCAACAAATTTCGGCTTAAGCGAAGCGAAAAAAAACACAGAAACGAAGCTCTAACTCTTTGTGGAAAGGAAAAGTCCGAAAGGTTCTCAAAGTTGTTATCCAAGCCGCCTCGCAGTAGCTGCCATGGCACACCGGAGCAGCAGGTTGAGGTGGACAGAATCAAGATGCGCAAACTTGGTGATGGAACCGAACAGCAGCAATACTTGAGGCGGTCCAGGTTTGTCGGTCGTGAGTACGCATGGATGGATAACAGGACCGAGCTGTTTGCTCCCGCTTCAAGTAGTTTGCTCACGAGGTTGTTGCCATCCGCCTTCATGAGGTTCAAAGGTGACGGCCATGCATGTTGTGTGCTTGATGTGGCAGACGCGTTTCTCACCGTCGATCAGCGCATACCAACGGTTGTCAAGGCAAGCCTCGGGGATCAACAATCACATGTGCAACATTTCCGTCTACTGAAGCTTCTGCCGGGGCAGCGCGACGGAACGATCCGGTGGCATGAGTCGTTCACTGAGTATCTTGACAGCAAGCTTGGATTGGAACCGTACGTGCCATGCCCGGCACTCTTCAAACTGAAGAATGTTGCAGTTGCTGGATTGTTGCATGTTGACGACTTGTTCAGTGAAGGACAGCGCAAAGGATTGGATGTGATGGTGTCATGTGTGCAAGAGAAATACAAGTGCACGGTGAGCTGGCTTTGTGAGCATGGGGATGAGGTTTCGTTTCTCAAGAAAGCATATCGGTTGGTTCGTGATGACCTCTTGATTATCCAACCTCACCCGCGCCACGTTGAGAAGCTGGTAGAAATGTTCAACCTCACACGTGCGAGGAGCAAGTCGAGTCCTTTGCCGACCAATCTTCCAACAGATGATGAAGAGTTGAGTGGCGAGCAGAGTGCGATGTTTCGCACGGCGGTTGGAGTACTGTTGTACTTGCAGTCAGATGTGATCGAAGCGCAATTTGGGATCCGGTGGTTGGCTCAACACATGAGCCGCCCCACCACTGGGGCACTGCGAGTGCTGAAGCACATGATCCTTTACCTTCGGGACACTAGTGGCTATGCCATAGGCTTCCCAGTGCCCACCATAGGCATAGGAGTAAGTGTGCAAAGCAAGGCGGGGCACGATGTGCTAGAGACGCACACCGACGCCGACTGGGCTGGAGATAAGGTGCATCGGAAGTCGGTGTCAGGATGCGTGATAACCTTGAACAGTCACTTGCTAAGCAGCAGCAGCCGGACGCAGAAATCCATAGCATTAAGCTCAGGGGAATCTGAGTATGCCAGTGCCGTTTCAGGAACGTGTGATCAAGTGTTCATCCGCAATGCCGTGGAGTTTGTCCTTGGAACAAAGGTGGAGTCGCATTTGCTTTTGGACTCAGCGGCAGCCCGAGGTGTGATCGCCCGTCAGGGCGCAGGCCGAATCAGACACTTGGAAGCGAAGATGTTATGGCTGCAACAGTACGCCCGTGAAAGCCTCCAGGTACATCCTGTCGATGGCAAGCACAACGTTTCGGACCTTGGAACGAAGAGCCTTCAAGGACCCCGCATCAGGGCACTGTTGCACAAGGTTGGAATCCGCGATGTCAATGATGATTATGCGCTTGTGGGCAGTGAAGAGTTCCAGAACCTTCTTGATGGGAACACGGTGCGCAAGCTGGTGCGATTGGTCAAGCAGCAGGGCAATGCTGGCAATTCCGTTGGATTGCAAGTTGCAATGATTGTCTTATCGCACGCCTTGAGCCAGCATGCCGTTGCAGCCGCAGCGGACAGCGAGGAACAAGATGTCGCCGCCGATGAAGGCACAGATGGAATGCACAGCATCGTCCAACAGGTGCTGGAGATGATCATGCTTGTGTTCACTTTTGCAGGTGAGTATGCCCAGCTGTATCCGATTGCAGCCACAAGCTTCATGCAAGGGTTCATGTGGATGGTTCTGATGTGCTTGGGATGGTGTGTGTGCCGAAGGCGCAATGTGAACTTGAGCATGCGAGGTGATGCGTCAGGAGATGATGGCATGTCTCCTGCATCGCCACGCGGTGCCAGGAGTAAGCGAATGACCAAGCCGCCCAAGCGCAGTTGCGATGACAATGATGATGAAGGGGCACGTGGTGAAAGTGCCAATGCTGGTGACGTGCCAATGAGCAGCCATGAATCGCCAGGTCGCTTGAACTTCAACGTGCCGTTGACCCCTGGAGCCTCGGTCAAGCTTGAAGTGTCGAGTGGCAGTGCAAGCGAGAAGCCGTCAAGCAGTGCAGCTAGCACAAGCAGCACAGGGGATGCCGATGTCCCGCGTGCAAGGCGTCCACCCGTGAGGCCCAAGCCTAAGGCCAGGAACAGTGGCGATGATGAAGTGTGGGTTTCCGGTGCCCAGGGTTACTGTTACCACAAAGCCGGATGCGGAAAGTTGAACCAGAGCAACAGCGTGTCATCGACCACCAGGCGGTTAGCTGAGAGTCGTGGATACCGTGGATGCCGCATATGCAATCCTTGAAACTTGGACCACTTGTGTATAATGCTCATGATGCCCATTCCTTGAGTGGGTAGCGCGTGCGCTGCTCACTGATCGGATGGATTGGTGCACAATGGATGGAGCTTGTACAGTGGGCCAATGGTTAACCTTGTACATAGACTTGGAGTGGAACAGCAAATATGCAAGGCATCTTACACATGCCATTTTGGCGTGTCAATACTTGAAAACAATGTGGAACACCGATGTCGCAACCGTGGAGCGGTTGAAGAGTCTGAAGGGGCAGGTTGTTACCGCCCGATGCATTTAGGCACCCAAATACCGTGTCTCCTTGAACTTGAATGCTGAGCTTATCTTGATTCTCGGAAGGGGCCTCCGCTTGGGTCAGTCAAGCAGTCACTTCGCAGGCACCCGTGCCTGTGGAGGTGACGGTAACTAGTTGTAGCTACGTGTACAGTGTAGTTTTGCGCCAAAGACCTTTTGAGGCAGAGCGCTGGAAACTGACAAACGTCTGAAGCTGTAGGAGTCTGTGGAGCGTGTAAACTTTGTGTTTCGTCTTACGGAAGGGGCAGCAGCAAACTTTGTTAAAGAGCTTCTCGAAGTAGCTCGCTCTTTAGGCGGGGTGCTAAAGTTTGTACCCACACGTGTACCACATTTGTATGCTGCCGTACTGAACTAATTTGCATGCTGTATGTTTGTTTTGCTCCACTGTATTTTAGAGCCCAATACTGACTGAGTGACTCCGCAGGCGTGTGAACCACAGGAAAAGTTTAGCAGACTCGCAATGTGCGAACAGCCTTGCATCTGGATGCAAACAATGCATTGGGCTATCTGAACGGCTTGATTAAGATTTCGGGGTTTAGGGGAGGGGGTTTGTGGGTCCAGGACGCAAGCGGAGACACCGTGTGCCCCACCGATCCATCTCTTCTGGGCTCACACCTCGACTTCAGAGACTCCACTCTTGCCTTTGATCCGCATAAGAAGCACCTTACGTTGCCTTGGACGCAGGGCCCACGTATCGTTCTAATCGGCTTTGTGGTCAAAGCCCCCGCTGAGATCGCAGATCAAGCTGCCGAGATGCTGCTTCGAGCCGGTTTCAATCTGCCATGTCAGGATACAGCGACTTCTCTGTGTCAGCTTGGATCGCATAGTACCTTCTCTGGACTGTCTTCTCCTTAGTCCCGAAGGCAAAGAGCTCCCGTGGAGCTCCTCTTGCGATCCAACTTTGCGCCGGGTCAGGCCTTTTGTCAGCTTCCGTCAAAGCTGCAAACATAGACACTTTGGCGGTTGATTTTCACGGGAATCGGGCTAGGCCTTATGTGCATGTTGTCGGCCTCGATCTTACGTTGCCCGCCTCTTGGGAGTACTTGACGACCGTTCTTGAAACCAGACAAGTTGTTCATCCCCAGCTGGGACCACGCGACGATCGCGTGCAAAGCAGTCGCTTCGAAGTGCTTCCCACCCGTGGGGTGTGCCAGGTCAGGATTCATCGGTGTTGGCTCGTCTCCAGTCGGCCAACCGTATCTTCATTCAGCTGGGAGCCTTTTTGCTTCGGGCTCGGGAACTTGGGGTGGCGTTCTCGCTTATGCACTACATGTCTTCCTGGCTTTGGGAGCTGCCTCCCTTCGCCGACCTGCTCAAGGTCTCTTCGGAGGTGCCAGTGTATCTGATGTCTGACTTGCACAGGCTCCAGCATTTTCGCTTAGTGTACACCTTGTGTGACCTGTCATCGCTTGCCGCGGTTGATAGAACCGATGCCATGACACAGAAACTCTTCTGTGATCGTTTTGCTGCTGCCTTGTCCACTCAGGTTGCTGCCTCGGGTTTAGGCCCCTCCCCTCTTAGGCTCCCCGAGGTCCGCGCTGCGGCGCAAAACCAACCGAAGGCGTCCAAGCTGCCACCGCTTGTGCCAGAGTTTGCATACACGCAGCGTTTGACGTGTGAAGGCCATCCACCTTTGGATGCCAAGAAGCAGCTCACACATCCGTGGAATGGCGTTCCCAAACATGCCCGCCTCCTGCGCTCTTCCGCTTCCGAAGGGGGGGCGACTGAGGAATCCGCGCAGCAAGCGACCAACATCTCTTCGCAGAAGCCTCGCCATACTGAGTATGTGTTCGGTGTGTATCGCGAGCCGGTGCAATTTGTGTATCAGGCTGTCGCACTTCAGCATCCGTTTGATGCCGCCAGAGCTCTTCCGGATAAGCTTGTTCGTGTGCTCTTTGCCACCTTGACGAAAGGTCCCTTATGCATCATGCGAAACAGGTTGCTCCTGCTGCAAAAGTGGAATCAGTGGGCAAAGGACCTTCGCTCAGATGAGGCCTCTCTGCAGGCCTCCCTGCATCCTTCGGTCCGCAAGGTTCTTCAAGGAAAGAAGCTGCTCCTTCTTGACAAGATTGCAAGATCCCTTGACTGGCCCGACAAGCACCTGCATCGTGACCTGTGTGCAGGGTTCAAGTTGTCAGGAGTTCCTGATCCTACAGGTGTCTTTGAGCCAGACCACAAGCCTGCCTTGTCTTCAGAGGAGCAATTCTGGGACGCTGCCGAAGTTTTGAAGCATCAGCTTTGGGCACGGGTGAGAGAGCAGCCGGCTCAGGAGTACGATGCGGAGCTGGTCGAAATCACGCTGGGCGAAACCGGTGCATCTGGAGGAAAGGGATGGCTCGAGGGTCCTTTGTCATTCTCTGAGCTCCAGGATCGCTTTAAAGGCCAGTGGATGCCGTGCCGAAGGTTCGCTGTATGGCAAAACAAGTGGAGGCCCATCGATGATCTTAGCGAGTCGGGGCTCAATGCAACATTTGGCTGCCATGAGAAGATTCCGCTTAGGGCTTTGGACGAGGTGGTCTGGATTTGCACAAAGATAATGCAGGCTGCCTCTGCTAGGGGCGATGTCACGTTGCAACTGAGCTCGGGCGAATCCTTGAAAGGCAAGCTGCATGAACGACAAGGAGAGGATCAGACCTGTCACGACAACATTTGATCTTAAATCCGCTTACAAACAACTTCCGCTTGCATCGGAGGAGCAAAGTAAGGCGATAGTTACCATTCGACATCCTTCACAGACCGAGCCGTCCGGCTACATATGCAACACTCTTCCTTTCGGAGCTTGTGGATCTGTTCTTCACTTCAACAGAGTCTCGGCTCTGCTGAGAAGGATTATGCTTGAGATGGAGATCTTGACGGCGCTCTACTATGACGACTATCCAGTAGTGTCGCCGTGCCTCCTTGGCAACAGCACGGCTGCAGCCTTCACTTCAGTAATGCGCCTTTTGGGGTTTAGGATTGCTGATGATAAGGACAAGCCTTTTTCGACGCGCTCGGAAACTTTGGGAGTTGTCATAGACACGTCGGCGGAAGATATGTCGGGCGTGTCTGTGTGCAACAAACCATCGAGGTCGCAGACCATCGCCGTTGCCATTGAGGAGATTATCACCAGAGGGCACGTCGCACCTCGTGAGTTACCTTCTTTGTTCGGCAGACTTCAGTTCGCCGAGGCACAGATCCTTGGCAGGATGGGCAGGTTGGCGATTCACGATCTCAGAAGTCTTGAGAGGTCTTCTGCTGCGCGTGTCAACCTCACAGCTCAGCATCTTGAAGCTTTGTTGCTCTTGAAGGAACGCGTTGTGTCCGGAGCTCCGAGAACTGTGTCCGCTTCGGCTGCGACCAGTCCTATCGTGATCTTCACTGACGGCTGCTTCGAGCCGGATGCTGCGAACCCCGCTGGGGTGGGGGGAGTGATGTTCGCTCCTTCGTTTGGTGGAGGCTTGAAGGTAAGGGCCTTTGGCTCGCTTGTTCCAAAGACGTTGCTTGAAGCATGGCACGCCAAGGGCAAGCGACACCTCATAGGCCAGGTTGAGATGTTCGCTGTCATCATTGCCAGGTCGTGCTGGGCAAACGTCCTGGACAGTGCCAGGGTCATTTATTTCGTGGATCACAGCGGTGTGCTTGCCGCCTGCATAAGCGGATCCTCCAAAGAAGATACCTGGAGAAAGCTTTTGTGCGCATTCGAGAAAGCTGATTCGCTGCCTGCCATGCAATGGTTCAGCCGTGTTCCTTCACACTCGAATATCTCTGATGGACCGTCAAGAGGTCGCTGGGAGGGCCTTTTGAGAGCTTTCCCGGAGTGCGTGATTGATGATCCTTGTTGCCCTTTGACAGGGACATTGCTTCAGCGCTTCGTTTAAGAGCACTCTTGTGAAGCGGGGCGAGCGGAGTGCTCTCGAAGCGAAGTGCTTCTTTCTTGTGGCGATGTGCCACGTGGTGCGTGCGGCATGCACTTGAACGTTCCTAAGAGGACGACTAGATGTTCAACTTTTGTAAATCCAAATCAGCTTGAGCCGCAAATCGTAAGTTATTATTCTACATAGTATTCACTACCGAATGATGATAGTTGTGCAAGTGACCGGCTGATGCGTCTCATGGGTGTAGGCAGCTGTGCCCGAGGCGGCTCTGAGGTTACATACAGAGGGTACATGCAACCGCACATATTTGCCCACAAACTCAACTGCCAAAGCGATCATCCATCACTACACAGAGTACAATAGCAATATCAATGATAACCTCAGGCCATGGGGTCTACAAACATGATGCTGTATGCATACTTCTTCAACCGCCGCAAAGAGGTCTTCGCGATGCGATAGGCATGGGCAATCCGAAGATCGGCATCTCATGGATGCATGCTGTTGATTACAGCACCCCTGCAGCAACACTAGCTTAAAAGAGCCAACTCCGGTGTCCTTGCAACATAAAAGTTCCAGCAATAAGAACACACATAAGTACGAAAATAAGTACGATAAGTACAAAGGGCAGAAAAAACTAAGGTGCACTAGGATACACAACCTGTTATGAACCATGACTTGTCCGGCGCGAACGCCCCTGTAAGCGACAAGCCATTCCGGAGTGGCAGACGAAGCCAAAATTTCAATCCATCATCTCGGCAGATGATGCTGTAGCAGCCTACCGAAGCCATCCTAAAGCCTCCGATATAGCATTAGGTATGAGTTTTGCTGTACAGTAGCTAAATCGGTGGTACTCCATGGTTGGGGTGCATGATTGTCATCAGTGATGGCGAACGGCCTGCCTGCTGCATAAAGTACCGAACGATAATGTCCCGAGGATTTGTTCGGTCCTATGTGGAACACAGTTGCCACAAGCTGATATTGTCGAGAGGAAGTATGGATGCCTTCATTCGTGTAGAAGGGCATATGAATGACCGGAGTAAGGATTACGTCACCCGAAAGCTTATTTCCTATATCATCAAACCTTCCTATCTGCAGGGGCAAAATCGTCGGCAGTATCAGAGCAGCCTGGCGCTGTGCCTGAAAGTTTCGCCAATCGACAAGCAAGGATTGCACACTGGTTACTCTGCCCTGTATTGCACCAGGGTGCAGGAATGCTGGCAGGAGCATGGGCCACATATGTCCATGATCGGTCACCTGGGCAGTGAAGTCAGGTTGGGGATTGCGGGTTTGCCAGTGTCCTCGTACATATGCTGGGTCAAGCACATGCTCTAGGAACGTCAGCAGTTCCGCAGCGTCATGCTGTAGGTGGGGCATATGCCAACCTTGCAGGGTCTGACGCCAAGGTGGGATGCTCCAAAGCTCTACTGTCTGCGGTTTTCGGGTGAGCCACGCCATCAGTCGTTGCATGGAGGTCCCAAGCAAGGCAGCTCCTGACGGGGTATATGCGTCTGCCCACATGAGGGCATACATGGTGGCATTGCAATAGCAGTGGTTAGAGAGGTTTATGAGGCCTAGTTTAAGGAGGCGGTCCTGTTTGGCATTCAGAGAGATTGCAGAATCTTCTCGATCTGCAAAGCCAGTGGTGAACGGCCTAGTTTGGTGGGGCGAAGGGTCGCACCCACCAGGTGCATGACCGAGCATCTGCAGAGCCGACGCATTCCTTGATAGAATTGCTGAGCTTCCGCATTCCTGTTCTGCACCTGAAGCACAAATGGCACCACTTCGGATTGGTGCTGATCTGACAGGCGTCGCAAGGCATGGAACCTGCCGACCACATCCGGCACCGCAGTCAGCTGCCCCAAAGCCGTCACCGTTCTCAGGACCTCGTCGTACGACATCGCCTCCTGTGTAGCCTTGACGTGCTTCTTCTGTTCGTGGTCCCATTGGAGGAAGGGGAAGGCGTCGCCCTCCACGAGACCCAGTGCCTTGGCCTTCTGCAGGAGGGCAGGGTCCCTGTTGATCCTTTTGATCTTCTCGAGGAGGGCGTCGAGGAAACAGTGGAGCAGGACGTTGCGCACCGGGAGCTCGAGGCTTGCGGGGTTTTCTTCCTTTTGCTTTCGCCACTGCTGCGCTACATTGTAGAGTCCGTGTCCAAGCCCTGGATGGTCATTGTGTCCTCCATCCTGAGGAGCAGCCGCCCCATTAGCCGCACCATCTCTTTGAGCTCCTCCTCCTTGTTGTCCTTGGAGCTGCACTGCTGTTGCCCGGCTGAGCCCTGAGACTTCCAGTCCTTCTTCCAGCCATCTCCCCGGTATCCCCGGTGATCGCCCGTCTTCTGCAGCTGGGAGGTCGCAGGTCTCCGCCCTTTGCCCGTGTTCGACGGTTGACCCGCCACTTGTTGATCTGGCAGTTCGTCCGCCTGTCCCGGATTCTGGCCCTTCTCCTGACCCTTCGCAAACTTGGTCGCCGGGTTTTCCTCCGTGGTCGGCTGCCTCTTGGATCTGTCCACATCCATGTCCTCGCCCGTGAGGGAAGGAGGCGGTCCTGTGGATTGGTTGCTTTCGTCCTGTTTGTCCTTGTCCTTCATGTAGCCCGCGAAGTTGTTCAGTTCCGCCCGAGCTTCCGCAAGCTGATTCTCGTCGACAGACATCCTTGAGCGTGGGCTGTTGCTTATCAGTCAGGGTACTGTGCACATGCAGCATGTGTGCACACGTCCACAGGATCGAGCAGGCCTGGAGGTGGGCTGATGCTCGGTCGTACCGACTATGGCACCACTCGCAAGGGCTGGAGAGCCTTCCCTGGTTCTTGATCCAGGCAAGGACAAGAGGCTGGGCTTCACGCACATGTTTGTGCATCTTGCAAGCATGTCTTGACAAGTACGATGGACGGGCTACCCATTGATTGCACACTGGACAGTGATTGGTACGTTTCGAGTCTCGTATGGCTTTGGCGAGACCGTGCAGATCATGGGATTTTGCAAGCTGCTGAAAAGCCGGGTTGTCGAAGGCTGGTGGCGGCTCATCCTCTACTGCATGCTTTGGCCAGTATTGTGTCGATGACCCCGGCGCGGACGCCCCTTGAGCAGGTCCAGACACAGCACTAGCCTCAAACTGAGTGGGTACACTACCCTGTGCATCCAACTGATCCTTGAATAAAACTGGGCAAGCATGCTGACTGAAATGACCCATAAACTGAGGCCATCCATAGAATCTCTTGCCACAGTGTTTGCATTCAGGGAGCCCCCTGGCAGCATGGACTCGGTACTCGTCTCGTCTGGTATTTTGATCCGTGGGATTTGTCAGTTTGGTGGGTCTGCTACCGGGGTGGGATTTACCTATATGTACACTTAGGGCATGCGTGCTGGGAAACTCCTGGCTGCAAATTGGGCAGGCGCACCGAAAACGCTGAATTTGGGTGATTTCGGTCACCCGTGCCCTGGCTTCCCCGCTCTGGGAGCCCAGTTGAAATTCCGGCTGTTGGAAAGAGGCCTGTACTAGGGACCACCATTGCTGAACCTGTGGAGGCTGAAGGTGCTGTACATGTGGTCGTCCTTCGGAACTGCGTTGCTGGCCCAGTTGAGCTAGTTTGTGCAAAGGATGGTCCATATCAAGTCGACTGAATAAGGACGATGTTGTTTCATGATGGACATGGGCTGGGCTACGTGCCACCATCCTGAGTTGCTTAGCAACCGTTTGGTTAAGGTGCTGAGCACTGATTTGATCGACTCCCGTTGCAGTCAAGCCATAGCTGATGACCGACCAGACTCCGCTCTGCCAAAGATGAATACGTTTTCGCAGTGGTATGGAGGTGTTTTTGAGGAAGGGGTGCAAGCGGTGAAATGCCGTCCAAGCCTGGCCGATACGAAGCTGCATGCTAGCGGCTAGCGCGTTCGAATGTAGTGTATCCTATCTTCATTCCTAGGTAAGTGTGAGTGGTCCTAATCGGTAGATACATCTTGCCAAACGGATCTTGAAGTTGCAGTACACGCTCGCCCCCCTTTCGGAGGATAAAGGCTGAGAAGAGTTTGTCGGCCTCTGGTCCCTTCATTGCTAGGAGAATAACCGTCTTCTCAGTGGATACCATCATACCCATGTCTCGGAGGTCTCTGAGGATTTTAGGGAGTTGCTGACAGGCTCTTCTAAAGTCCCTGGGGTGCTGAAATTCCCACTGCACATGGAAATCATCGGCGTACTCTGTAAGGGCTTGTTCGGGAAGATATGTGGCGAGTTGCTTGTGAATAGCTATGGTATAGGCCAGCCATAGGAGGGGTGCTAGGCCACATCCCTGACGTATGCCTCTGTGCATGCTGACCGACTGCTGCCCACTTGGCCCTTCTATCACTACCTCCGCATTATCATGTATGTGAAGAATCAGTGCTACGAGATCAGGGGGAATCTGGAGAGCTTGTAGGGATCGTAGCAGTTGTTCTCGGGGTATCCTGTCGAAAGCTTGCTTCAAATCAAGGGATAGTTGCATGCCTCCACAAAACCCCGGTGACCTTTGGCCAGATCTCTTGCTGAAGATGTCATGCTTGTGGGCTTGTAGGGCCGAGCGGACACGGTGGCAGTGTGCCAACACGCGTTCCAATGCATCACCTGTTTGTCTGCCACATGCATACGCAAATTGAGGGATATTCTGGAGTGCTTCGGTGAGGAAGGGTCGTAACCTCTCTGCAGCTACCTTAGCTAATACCTTAGCTTCAGCCGGAAGCAGGTTGATGGGTCTTAAGTTAGCTGGTTTGCAGGGCGGTTTGCCCGGTTTCGCGAGCAGCACTAAGTATGATTTGAGGATGTCCGGTGGCAAGCAAATGGGTCCTGCATGTAGGCTCGTGTTGAGTCGGGTTTGCACTCGGTTAGCCAAGTCATCTTCTGCAAGCCTCCACAACACCGCCGGCATTTGGTGCTTGGGAAGGGCCTTTCTAGTCGACAGTGCTCGTATGGCCTGGAGTGTTTCAGAAAGAGTGATGTTGAAGTCTGCTTCCAGGTGCCAAGTAGTCGGATTGTATGTGGGATCGGCATACAGATCTCGGAAAAAGGCCGTGGTGTTCTGGAGCTCTTCTGCCTGTGACATCAGCGAGCCGTCCGGAGCACGAAAGTGTATGCTACGTCTGGGGGTTTTCGGCCTCATAAAGTTGATGAGCTGGTGGAGGCCCGTAAATCCCGCCCTGGAGGCTGCCGTGGTTTGCTGTATGAGAGCATCAATTTTCTCAATTTTGTGCAGTCTAGCTCTGACCCTTATTGCCTTGTTACATTTTTCGAATGCTTGGCTGTCTCTCCAAATCTTGAACAAGTATCGCAATGATCTGCACACTGTGGGTCTTTGATGCTCCCAGATGGTGGCCGGAGCAAAGGTAGAGATCATGCTAAGCAGCGGTGAGACAAAGGATCGGCAGCTCGCTTGGCTCTGTCGTAGGGTGTCCTTATGCTGCCAAAGCTGTTTAAGGCTATGCTGTGGGTTGTAGCGGGGGGGTGTGTGTGTGGCCTTAGTGGAGCATGGCGGACATGCCTTAGTGGCTTTGGACCAGGCTTGGCGGATGGCCGAATCCACTGCTTGATTGTCTGGTGGCTCGAGCGCGAGGTAATGTTTGAACGCATCGACTAGCTCCGGGGACGCATCTAAGGATTGTCTTATCTGCTTGGGCGTGGTCCTGGCGAGGACCTGGGTTTTTGGAAGGGTGGGCTTAGGGACTATTGCTATCACCGGTACATGTCGGAGCCCAGTGGGGTGGACTATTGACTATTGGCTCGTTGGGCAGAGCGGAGGCATTGCGAGCCATTGGGGTGCCCGGCAGTCTGGCACAGATGTGGTCCAACTGCGTTCCCGGCCGAGGCGGCTGTAAAAATGTGGCTGAGGAGTGCCCAGCTTTACCCCAAGAGTTAAGGACTACTAGCCCAAAGTCCTTAAGTATGCTGGAAAACTTATGGGAGTCTGGGTGTACCTTCTGGCCTGGTGCTACCCCTGGCCCGACATGCGGCGGCATAGGCTGCAGGGTGCAGTTCAGGTCACCTGCAAGATATATGGCATTTCTGGATGGTATCGATCTGAGCCATTGTCTGATGGCCGTCCAGATAATAGATCTTTGTTGCAGAAGCTCTGCAACTGCACCCTGAGGCGACGTGCGCGTGGCAAGGCTGTGCTCATTCCAGGCTTGCTGATAAATCCCCAAAACATCTACTGGGGGTTGGGTTTCTATTCTGAGGTGGACCAGTCGGCCAGGTATGAGTTCAGTGTACCTTACACCCGATGAGGCTACCAGGCGTTTGGATATGGCAAATAATATGCCTCCTTTAGCCGTGCCGCTGCCCGAGTGTATAAATGTCCAATTGGCATTATTGTATTCGCTACTTTGGGGCCAGTGTGTTTCTTGTACACAGACCAGCTGCAAACCCGGATGGTCGGCACATGATGGTGAGGGCCCCGTTGCTCCAACAGGAGTGTCCGTGGAAATCCATTTGAGGAATTCCTGATAGCGAACTGCATGCAAGCCCCCACAATTCCAGCTGGCTAATCCAAAGCAGGACTTTGGGTCCATGGGTAGGGGTGTTTTTGGGACCGGGATGGCTTTGCCTGCTGTTGGTCGCAATTTCACATGTTTGGCTGACAGGCTAGCCGGGGTGTGCAACCTACCTCTATACCATGTGCTGCCATTCTGTGCACGAATTGTCCTGGCTTATCTGCAGTTCCAGCTAAGGATGTCAATGGTACTGGATTGGTACGGGCATTATCTATGGGGGGTAGCATGCGTGAGGTCAATGATGGTGCATAGAATTATGACAGTTAGTATGCCAGAGGTGATCTTAGGGGTTGACCTGGGGTGAGGCCCCCATTGGGGTGGACTCGATTGTGTAATGGGCTGGGTGCCTAGAACCGTAGGACTAGGCGGGACTTCTGTTGCAACTATTGTGTCGTAGTGGCCGGAGACTTGGGCAGTGCAGAACAGGCTACCGAGCTGTGCCGAGCAGACAGGGATCTGTCTCACTGACCGTCGGCAGCGGTAGCAGCCTGGAACCAGTCGTACGGTGTACCATGTAATAACATACCGTGTTCGTAGAACGTGTATGGCGATGTGCAAGAGCCCTAGCATAAAGGCCGAGGCTAAGGCTAACTGCGGAGTGTCCCAGCATTGTCCTGCCTGCTGGCTAGGCTCGTTGACTCTGTGGTCGATCGAAGGCAAGGTGGCTCCTGATTCCAGCTTTTCAGCCGGAGATCTGTCGTGGTGCATGTTGACGTGTGTTGCTGCATGCGGGGCTGTAGCTTGGCTAGTTGCCTGCAGCTGGACATTAACAGGGTCGTGTTGCTTCGTCATGATAGGGAAGCATTTGAGACAGGGTGTGTGGACTTCATGGGGACCCCGACCTAGGTATCCCCAAACCCTCGTGTCTACAACTGGGGCAAGCAACCAGTGCGAATCAAGACTCAGATGAGTAGAGCTCCTTGTGGTTGGCGTCGTGCCTGGAGCTGTAAGCTGCCCACAGTTGCCGCCGGACTTGGGACCGGCGCGACCCGTCATATCATCGGTTCTCCCCCACTCAAGCATTTGGTCTTCTGGACGAAGGAGGAGGATCTGTAGATCCTCGTGCTGGTTCCGGTTCGTCATCTGCCTGAGTGTTCTCGTTCGCAGGTGGCTGTGTGTCGACAACCATCGCCATG